GGGGGGGGGGGGGGGGGGGGGGGGCTTTCCCAGCTCTTATGCCGAGTTGTGTCCGTCACGTGAGCCGCCTGCCCATCAACTTGCTTGACTACTGCAAAGTCTTGTTTGGCTGCTGTATTTGAATTGTAATTGTTGTTCGCAGTTCGCTTGTCATCATGTTATTTCTCAAATTACTGTCAGTATCTCATTTTTTTATCATGAAAAATAGTACCCCCTCTCCCCCCCCCCCCCCCAGTAAATCCATCCCTGTAGTCATGTTATCTAAAACGTAGTCGGTAGTATATTTTGAGCATGCCCCGCGGTTTACTTTGCCCACATTTTCACCCCATTTCTTCCATTTTTCGTCCCTTTAAACCTGCCGTACACGAGCGAAACGTGCTGAGCTACACGCGTAAAAACGCACAAGTTGTAACAAACCTGCAGCAGACTTGTATGTAGCAATGCTGTTCCAACAATTTGTCAATAGGATGTGTTCGCACTAGCTATTTCTTCCCAGCTTGTTGACAAGTTGTCAACGGCTTGTTAACAACTTGCTACAAGGTTGTTGAGCTCAACGGACTTGTTACAAGTGGTTCCAACAACTTGTTATCGTCCTGCAATTCAACAATCTATCAACAACCTTGTAGCAACTTGATGAATAACAGCATTGTTACAACTTCTTGACAAGCTTGCTTGCCAGTCCTCCTGCCAATCCTTCTAAGGCTTTTAGTGGGGCAGTTACCCCCTCCTTATCCCCCCCCCCCCCGCCCGTGTTGCCCGCCACTGCTCTGCGTCCGAAGTTGCGGTGCAAGTTGATGGAGTTTATGTTAATTTTTCAGGACGCGACTCCATAGAACTGAGCACAAATGATACGATGTCTTCTGAAAAAAGCGATGAATTACAAAGTACATATTGTATTGAAAAGATTGAAAAGCAAGTTGCAACCTTTGCAATGGAAAAAGCTCTGAAGTTTATTTTGGAATACCATGAAGGAAAGCAAAGATTATACAATACACCCGTTTCAGGTAAGGGCCTAAACCAAGGGTGACAATCAATTCCAGAAATAGTGGGGGCAGAGCCGGCCAGTAGACCCGGAAGCAATTGCCCCCTTAAATTTTGTGACATTTTCACAACTCTATTTAGGACAAAATTTATATTAGTCTTAATCGTTTGATTAAAGCAGAGCTGTGGGATGGGTCAAATACTATATGAGAAAATCAAATACTGTATGAGAAAAGCAATTTTGTAGGCCAAATATATTAAATATCCAATAATTTCATGGGCAAAGTTTAAGTAATTGTAAAAATTTGCTTTTCTGATATACGTCGTTTTCAGACCATTAGAATTCAGTAATATTTCCCCCAAAATGCATGAAATCGTGCTTCAGAGACTCTAAATTTTACAATTTTCTCCCATAAGTCCCATACCCACTAGGGGCACTCGATACTTGTGCCTTCGCGTCATCATTGTTCACTCGGCTATGATAAGGAGACGCAAAAATGTTCTCGAGTGAAATATTTCGTAATTTCCAGAGCGCGCAAGCGGAAAATTCTGTCCGCCGCGACTGGGTTTTGCCAGTGTAATACATACTTATACATACATACAAACTTTATTTAATCACGCTAGCCTCAACAACCGTTTGGAGGCTGATTTCCTAGCCTGCGAATACATACTCTATTTATATCGCTTATTCCACTGGGGGTAACGCGATAAATAGAAGTATTCTGTATTCAAAATTAACTATTTACAAGAAATACAGAAATATGACAAGAAAATACAGGTGATTTTTCAACTCATTCTTCGTTTTAATATCGATTTAAAAGAGCTTAAGGATTCATCAATTTTTGCCTCATGGGGAAGATTATTCCAATCAAGGCACCGTTATAACTCAAGCATCTCTTGCCGAATTCTTTTTTCGGCATAGGTGGTGCTAAATCAGTATCCCTATTTCTGAGATTGTATGTATTATGTCTTTCATTATTAAATTGAAATGCTTCTTGAATTGAAATGACTTCCTTTATCTGTTTATGACAGGAGATATTACAGTTAAAACTATTTGTCACTGGCTTGTTCAAAGAAATCCATCAGGCTCCGTTGTAGACTTATTGAGAAAGGTCTGGGCTATATGCAACTCGGCCATTACCACAAGTGGTACCGAACAGGGAACAGACGGTACATATAAGTACACTGATGTATGCGAAGAGATACTTGCGAGTAATAATGTATCTGAAAGCTGCATGTGTGGTCATCCAATCCCGTTAAAGGAAGTGAGGTTCGGCCGTTGCGAACGTGGTCACGTTTGGCCACGCTGTTGCGTGACTTTCAAGTTACTCGACGGCACGAATGCCCGAGTGTGCGAGAACTGTAACGCGCATGCGCTAAATAGACATCCAATCAACAGTCCCTACGAAGATTGGACAAAACATTTGTTAGATGTGACGTCATCTTGTACGTATTGTGGTGCCTGGTTCGAAGAAGTTTAAAGATTTGCAATATAGGAAACCGTTTCTTAATTATGCAAAGCAGTGTCAAGCAGGGTTGGTAAAGGCTGACTTCCACTGTTGCGTTTTTCGTACGCACGTACACGCACGTAAAACTTGGAATCCTTCTATTTTTTAAATATTTTACAAATAAGTTAACAAATGCATACTAAAACTTGCGGAACACTAAATTCTGTTGCTTTATTTATTTGGTTATTTCATAAGTAACATTTAAACGGATTTAAAGTTTTACGTGCGTATACGTACGTGTGAAAAACGCAACAGTGGAAATCAGCCTTTAGATGAATAATTAGGTCAAATCGTCATTAGTGCCGTTTAGAAAATAAAGAAAACGAAAGGCCAAGACAAAGAAAACAAAGGCCTAGTGTGACGGTGTTTGGCCTAATTATTCAGCAATCCTACCAACCCTGGTGTCAAGTCCACTTTTTTATTGTTTTACGTGAAGGACCAGATTTATAAATAAACGTTGACTAACATAGATAATGAGTTATATTGTTATTCTAATGAGTTTCACAGCCATCTTCCCTTGATAGGCTATGGTAAAACGTAAGTTTAATTTAAAAAATTAAGTAATTTGGACCCTTACACGTCAATTAAACTGCTTGCATTGATTTTTTTAAAGGTGATCTACAGTCCGTATGTAAACAAAGCCTTTGTTTACATTTTTGTGTCCAAAATATTGAGCTTTATTCGACAACTATTTATATTTTCAAGCTTCCAGAGTATAATAAATGATCAAGAAACAACAATCAGGCTTTTCAAGAACTCAAAACATAGTTAAACTGTTTGTATCATAAAAAGTGAGCCCATTTGTGCACATGCGCAGATCGGACTGTAGATCACCTTTAAGAAAATGAAACAACTTACTCTACTGTACGGTACCATGTTGCATCGGATATACAAACTAACTTGAGACAATACGGACGCGAATGTTGTAAGTGGTTTGTGAAACGTCTTGATGAGAACATTCGTATTCTTCAAGAATTTAAAATAAATTAATGATATTTGGTGAGAAAATTGAACTTTAAAGCCCCGTTTACACTACGCTCAATTTTTGGTACGGCACGAATAAAACTGGTACCCGTACCACTTTTTTGGTTCTTGGACTAGTTTAGTCCAAGAACCAAGAAAGTGGTACGGTACCAAAAATTGAGCGTAGTGTAAACGGGGCTTAAGTTTATGTAAATCAGCATGATTCATGAGTTCTTTTATGTTTTCTTCATGAATTATTAATGAGTTTCACAATATTATAAAGCCTGGTTGGGGTCTCAACGGCCAGTTTATACCTGTAAATCACATTCCATTTTTGTACCACCTAAAATTGGACCCCAGGGGAGTTACCCTCCTTTTTAGGTTAAGGGGCCCGAAACTTAATTACACGTTAAATGGGCATAACATTTTTTACCCAACAATAAGATAAATGTCGGTAAGGCCCTGAGGCAAAATTGGTGGCAGGTTTTAAAGTAGCTAGGACATGTAAAACTGGCCACGTTCTGTATTTGAAGTGCTTCCGACATGTTAACAGCGGAATTTCTCTTTGTCTTTTCTAATTAGCCTTTTCCCAAAGGAGATCACAGTGCATTCTGGGATCGTTTGGAGGGACAAATATGTGAAAGAGTAGAAGTATCTACTATCAAATATCAACTTTTTACGTATACCCGACCAAAAATGAAATATCTCCTTTTTACATTAAACATTTAATTTAAATGTGTGCTGCCATATTAGTTCCACCCGAGAAGACAAAGAAAAATTCCGCTTCGCGCGCAAAATTCCGCCTAGTGGAAACCGCACGGCCTTTAAGCCATTCATGAAATTGTTTGAAATAACGCTCGTGAAATTAAAAGTGTTTTTTTAACAAATGCGAGCCGCGAGCGATATAAGTTTTATTTTACAAAACTTATATCGCTTGCGCATGCACTTGTTTCAAAATTAATTTCAAAAAAGTATTTAGTTAAAAAGTTTGTATTTTAAATATGACTTTTAATAATATCTCTGGTTGAAATATGATTTCCAGATAACAAAATCTTTGTTTATTTGCATAAATATTACACAATGTATGGCATAATTGTATTACATAAGAATTCATAAAAATATATTGCGCGTCAATTTTTCAAATTATGCGCAGATGGTCAAAATTCGTCGGTTTGCGCACCCACATGCTTTCAGAGGCTTGCTTTGATGTCCGGCTTCCTGTCGTATAAAAAGTTGATTGACGAAGTTTAAAACCTCTTCCATGAACGAAAGTCGATTCCTTTGCCGCTTTAGCGGTCCCCCTTTTGCCACAGTTCAGTTTGAACTTTAATTCATGGCTTCCTGCAGCCATTTAACTCAATTTACAAAGGACAGCTTGTCAACCTATCGCAAAATTTGTGCGTGGTTTATCGCTGGTTCGTCGAAGAAAACCCGCCGTGCCAAGGTCAGAGACGCTTATGGTGTATTTTATGCCTCGTCCTTTCATCCACAAGCGTTTTAAGGCTTTAATTTTTACGTTTTTAATGTGTTTTTTTAGACTACAAGAAAATGTCACGAGTGTGGGACGCCGTCAAATCGCCTTCATGCCTGTTTGTGCTGTGTTTATTTTGGTTGCTATTCCGGTTTGAAGCACATACACTCGCATGCGAAGCAAAAGGACCACAAGTTAGGTAATTCATGTTCATTTTGAAAAAGCCGGCCTGATTTAATACCAATACATGAATATTGGCCACTCCATTACCATGTGGGAAAAATTAAAACTTAGTTCCTGGGGATTCCCCACTTGAATGTTTACTGTAATTTGCCCCTTCTGAAATGTGCATTATCATCTAATGTACACAAAATATGTATTTTTGCCCTGTCAGGCTAATTTTGCAACGTTGGTTTGAATGCCACGATATGGGGTGAGAACAAATTGGCCAGGGAGGTATGGCATGAGCCACAAGATATTGTTTTTAGATAAGTTGCTTTGCATCTGTGAGGTCTTGTCAAAAACAGCCTGACACTGTAGCCTCAGGCTGCAATGAGCCAATGAATCGTAATGCACCAGTGAACTGTATAGATACTGGAACAATAACTCCAGGTAAATGGCCCTATAGATGATGCGGTGAAGCCACGTTGATGACTGGCAAACATTGGCTGCAAATTTCAGTATAAGCTGTGTTATGAGATTTTGGAAATTTTAAGTTTAAATTTTATACATACAAAGTCAGGGTGTCCACAGGCCTTAATTGAAAAGCCTGGAAAGTCCTTGAGTTGAAAATCTGTAGTAGTCCTTGAAAGTCTTGGAATTAATTTCCTTAACCTCCAGCTGTGCCAACATTAGTGATTTTGATTAATTAACACTGAATAAAGCAAATCAAAGAGGGGCAAATCTGTGCCATTGAATCATTGAATTTAAGGAAAAAGGGCCTCATGAAAGTCTTGGAAAAGTCCTTGAATTTCACCTTCACCAAAGGGTGGACACCCTGAAAGTGAGATGTCCAAAATCTTGATATTTACCCATAAACTTTACATTGGCATCACCTTAGTATAATATATACATGAACTTGCAGTTAGAGCTTGGTGCTTGGGTGGCACAATCATCAGAGCATGCGTCTTTCACCTGTGATATTGTGGATTTCCATTGTGGACGTTATGATACATGTGAAAAGAGCCGGTCAACACTCTGCCAAAATTTGTGCGTTTTCTCTGAGTATTCCGGTTTCCTCCCCCAGGGAATGTTGACAGGGTTGGTTGGGATTAGCCCCTAAGCTGAGATTAGCCCTAAACTAACCCTTCCATCGTAGCTGCAGTGCTCCCTGATCAGACATGAGTCATAAAGTGGCTGCCACGGTGCCCATAGAAAGCCTTCCACTTGATCATGTTAAGCTGTCCTTCGCAATTCAGCTGCAAGTAACGGTAATAAGCAACCCCCCCCCCCCTACTTAGAGCTTGACAACTGGACTCTATAGCTCAGTTGGTTAGAGCACTGCACCAGAATTGCTGGGATGCAGGTTTGATTCCTTTTTATTGTTGCATTTTTTGCAGCTGTTCCTGGTTAGGTGTAATAAATGTATAAAATTTACACTCGAAATTTCCATCTACCAAAGCCTCCCAACAATCACTTTGAAATATGCTTTCCAGTTGTTGAGTGATCAGTTCATATGATTTTGGTACTTTTAACCCATTGAACCGCAATGTGCCCTACTTATTTTTTAACTTGTCTAAAGGCGGTTTTCCAGTCCTCGCACGAAGCTCCTCGCAGCTCGCTGCGAGTGCTTGCATCTAATTAAAATTAACTGTTTAGCATTGTGATTGGATGAAAGTGCCCATGAGGACTGAAAATCCGCCTTAACGCCAGACTATTTTACTTGTCAACGGGGAAGCTCTGCAGCTTAATGGGTTAACAGAAAAATCTGACATTGTCTGTAGTTAACCCATTGAGCCGCAATGCACCCCAGTGCGCCCTACTTATTTTTTTACTTGTCTATAAACGCCAGACAATTTTACTCTTCAATGGGGAAGCTCTGCAGCTTAATGGGTTAGACACTTAATTTTGCATATAGTCTCATAATAATTTTCAGAATGACTAATACTGATTTTTTAAAAAGCTGTTGATCTGACATATGGTGTGGTGTACTGTTTTCTCTGTGGTGACTATGCTCATGATGAAGTACTTGAAAAAATTCTTCGTGAAGAAAGAGCCAAGGCCTGGAGGTCTTATGGTATGTAAAGATTTTTCTGGGGATGCCCCTTTTTAAAGAAGATGGTGCCCCTTCTTTGACCTCCCCCCTTGGTTTCAAGACTGTCCACCCCATCCAACAAGCCAACTCCTTAAATATTCCTGAAATAAATATCCACCTCCCTTGTGGCTTAACAGAATATTTACAATAATTATCAACAACTTGATAGGAAACAAGACAGCTCTTTATGAACATTGGCTGCCTGGCAGGAAAGATGTGGAACTCTTAAAACGAAATGTGAAGTATCAGAGAGTTTGTGATAACTCAATTATAGGTTAGTGCTGCTGGTGGATCCCTTAGGTGCAGGCAGCACTCTCCTCCTGACAAGTACAGTCGTCTGGCTTTTTGAAAGAGTAAAATTATTAATAAAGTAGGGCGCATCTGGGCACATTGCCACTTAAAGGGTTAACAGGGTGCATGGGCAGATAGTCTGATTAACCAATTGAGTGGCAGCACTTTCCCCCTGACGAGTAAAATCGTCTGGCATAGACGGAGTACAAAATAATAAAGCAGGACCATCTGGGCACATTACCACTTATTATAAATTGTTAGATAAGATGTCCAGTTAGTGTGCACACAAGTCAGACCAGTATTGTTTTAGTAATATTGAGATTTTGTTGGCATCACATGATTCAATAATAGAAAGGTCTTGTAGATGGAATTATCGAGTGGAAACTTTTATATACATGTACTAGACCTAACTAGGAACAGCTGTGAAAAATACAACTGTGGATCCATGGCAGGAATTGAACCTGCAGCCTTGCAATTATGGTGCCGCGCTCTATCCAAGGCAACTGAGCTATAGAGTCCAGTTGTCAAGCTCTAACCACAAGTTCATGTATATATATATATATAGAGAGAGAGAGGGTACTGCCATGTTTAAGTTTTGGGTAAATATTGAGATTTTGTTGGTATCTCATTCGATTCAATAATAGTTGACTAGGATCAAGTGGAAATTTATATACATTTATTAACCCACTGAGTTGCACGACTCTCCCTTTGACTTATAGAATCATCTGCCATTGGGCAGAGTAAAGTAATAAAGTAGGGTACATTAGGGCGCATTGCCATCTAAAGGGTTAACAAGACACATGCTAGCAAATGGCCTGATTAACCAGCCCCCTCCTCTTGAAAAGGAGGGGGGCGGTTAATCTAAAGGGTTAACAAGACACATGCTAGCAAATAGCCAGCACCCTCCTCTTGAAAAGTAAAATTGTATTGTATTGTACCATTATTGTACTGTAATTAAATTAGTAAAATACTGTAATAATAGAAATAATAACTTGAACAGTCTGTGCCAGTGTAGGTAGTGTCAATAATAAGAAAGCTGTGTATTGATAGGGCAGGGGTGGGAAAAAGTTTTCAATTTCTGGCACTGCAATCTGAGAACATTGAAAAATTTTCTGCAAATAATCGAGTAAACCGACACTCGCACGCTGTAACTGTGATACACTAACAAGTTGACAAACTTAATGTCATGCTATATCTTAAGGTATATAACATAAAACTAATTTAGATAACATACATGAGGGGACTGATGCAGATGCCAAAAATGGGTACCACTAGGGGGATCTGGGGGCATGGCCCCAGAAAATTTTGAAAATCAGGTGTCTCGATTCTTTCTTGGAAATATTTTCTGGGAACTCGAAAATTTTCTGGGACCAATGTCCCATGTTCCAATACTTTTTCCACCACTGTGATAGTGATACAACTACCTGAAAAATACAACGAGAACTTCGACGTTTCGAGCGAAGGCCCTTCGTCGCGGCGCATTGCCACGTAAAGGATTAATATGGAAAGTTCTGAGAATTCAACCATATTTTTCTTGTCTTGTTTCTGACTATAGGTCTGCGTGGTTTGATAAACCTTGGCAACACCTGTTTTATGAATTGCATTGTTCAAGCTTTCACACACACGCCTTTACTGAGAGATTATTTTTTGGCTGACCAACATAAATGCAAAAAACAGGATGGGACGTGTATTGTATGTGCTATGGTCTCATTATTTCAAGAGGTATGCATTTAGTTTCCGGGTAAACTAGTTTAGTTTTTTAGTTTCAGTTTAGTTTTCTCATTACTTTTAGAGGTATGCGTTTAGTTTTTTGTTTTGTTTTTAGTTTTTTAAACACATATTAGCGCGCTGCAAAGTGAATATAAATAAGTGGGAATGTGCTGCTAATCTGGAAGACTTTTACTTCACTTTCGGCTCTGACCTAAGCTGGATTACGAAGGACGTAGCTCAGTCGAAAGTTGTGTAAAGGCGGCATTGGTAGCCACCATAGATGTCTTATATAAACTAGATAGCGCATCTCTTTTAGTAAAATTGAAGCCAAGAATATTCCAGCAGTTACCATTTGAATAGATGGCGGCCATGTTGGAGTTTCGCACTCGCTAATAAACGCTTAAAACAACAATAACAACAACAATAACTTTCATCATTTGTATAGTTTGAAAATGTATTTGGAATAGGTTTAACTTAATGTTTAAGTTCCCTGTTTAAGAAATAGAAAACATACGAGTCTTCTCATTTCATGGGATTATCCTGAGTCTGCAATCACGGCTTCAATTTTTGAATTGCAGAATAATTAGATGCACTATCTAGTGTATATAAGATATCTATATGGTAGCCACCTTCTGACTCGCGGGTCACTTGATGAAATGAATAAAGAGTCTCGAGTTGTCTATTTGACTGACATATTAGATACTTTTTCTAAGATAATCAGCGGAGTTCATACAAAACTTGAAAGTCCTTCAATCTCCTTGAATTTGAAAACAAAAATTCAAGGCTTTGAGTGTCCTTGAATTTGTAAACAAGTAGCCACTTGAAAGTCCTTAAATTTTTCTTGCTTTAGTTTTTGGATATTTTCTGAAGTTGTTTGACATTCAAAACGGACATTTTAATTTGTTGAACTGATTTTGCATGTTCCTATTCGACAAAGCTGTTTGAAATTCATTAGTTGCGTTTTGAACAATATAATTTAGCGTCACATTTTACTGATTTTTAACGCCTTTTCTTCAGTATTTAGTCCTTTGCTGATAGATGGCTTTGAATGTCCTTAAAAAGTCCTTGGACTGTATTTGACTCTTCTTGACATGTACGAACCCTGATCAATTAAACATGTCGATTAGCTTTGTTGTTAATGTTTAATGTTCAGTTATAACTATCAATTCTGATAGTTTAACAGTAGAGCTGTAACGAATCCTATACACAGAACAAAACAGATTGTAGAAAGTGTGTATATATTGTGGCATCATTGGCATGCATTGTTCATTAACATATATTGCTTCCTATATACGGTAGAAAACTTTAGCTTAGGTTTTATGTAATAGTCATTATTTAACATTCACGTCAATTACGTTATGGGTCTGATTGCATGCTTACCACTAGCTTTTTCCTAAACAATACTTGTGAATTGTGATATTTGGTTAGTACTAGACTTTTATGGACTTTTATAGGTCTTTCAAAATTATTGGGGGTGGGGCGGTCAGTCAGTGAGGGGCTAATCCAAACCTTGATTTTTTTATTTTTAAATTCAGTTTTATTCAGGCGAACGAACTCCTCATATTCCATTCAAATTACTGCATCTTGTCTGGACAAATGCTCGACATTTAGCAGGATATGAACAGCAAGATGCACATGAATTCTTTATCGCTGCGCTTGATGTTCTTCATCAGTACTGCAAAGGTAGAGTATTTTAATGGACCTATTACCTAATAACCAAAATTTTGATCTCAACAAATCTAGACACAAATTTCACCACAGCTTGAAAGAGCATCACAAAATTAGTAATATTCCGAAGTTTCGTTGCGAAATGTTGTAAAATGCGGATAATATATAGCCCTGCGAAGTTTGCCGTTTTTCAGTCATTTTGTATTACGCACGGGAAATTGATACCGCTTTCTGATAAAAGGAAAATTAACCGTGGATTGGAACGGACAATAAAATTTTTCTTTCTGTTAAAGTCATTAGTTCCAACCCAGAGCTCACAAGACAAAGAAAAATGTTTTTGTCTGTTCCAATCCACGGATAATTTTCCTGAGTGGAAATTAGCCTTAAGTCGTCCCCAAATGGATTTGAACCCACAATGTCAGGAGGTGAAAGGCGTGCACAATCCTTTATCCATCTGGAATCTTTCCCATCTTTATTTCTTCTACACATAGATGACAGCGACGAGACAATAAAATCTGACAATCCACATCACTGCAACTGCATTATTGATCGCATATTCACTGGAGGACTCCAGTCTGAGCTGAAGTGTCAAGTTTGTAGTAGTGTGTCGACTACAATCGATCCTTTCTGGGATATCTCGCTGGATTTAGGAAATGTTTTGAATAATGGAAATGGAAAATCGAACACGTTCATTGCCTCGGCAGCATCCGTACCCAGTCCTACTCTGTCAGGTAATGAACTTAACAAAATTATTGTACAGATTCGGAAAACCATCGAACGAGTAAGAGAGTGTCTACGGTTGGCGATATATCGATATTACCGTGGTATATTAACTCGTGATTATCGAAGGTGGATCGTAATTATCGTTATGGTCAATGACTAACGTCATATTGTTTGACATGTGTACATTGTTTTCACAAAATCCGGAATCACATACATTACCAAATACTACGTAGTTTTTAGAGCAGCAAATGACAATCCATAGATTGTGATTTTCCACATGGTGGTTCAAAAACAAATGCCCATGATAATAGATTCTTCAAAGCGATTGGCGCCTGTAGACAAGGAAGTGATATTTAATACTTATTGGTTTGTATCGAATTTGATAGATGATTATTTGTTGTCGTGCACACCACCGGAGTCTGATCATCTGGATGACAGTTTTGTACCAAGATCACTTATAGAATGTTTAAAAAGGTAATCTAAATTTAGATTGGAGAATTAGGGCAAATATGGTTGGAGAATTAGTAAGAGAATTGGTACAGTATCAGCATTAGAGAATCAAGGCAAATCGAGTTTGAGAATTTGGGCGTGGCAGGGTTAAGGAATTAGGAAGAGGATTAGTTGGAAAATTGTCGAGCGTAACAAGCTTAGAAAATTAGAGAGTAACAAGCTCAGAAAATTAGAGAGTAACAAGCTTAGAAAATTAGAGAGTAACAAGCTTAGATAATTAGAGAGTAACAAGCTTAGAAAATTAGATAGTACCAAGCTTAGACAATTAGAGAGTGCCAAGCTTAGAAAATTAGAGAGTAACACGCTTAGAAAATTAGAAAGTAACAAGCTTAGAAAATTAGAGAGTAACAAGCTTAGAAAATTAGAAAGTGACAAGCTTAGAAAATTAGAAAGTAACAAGCTTAGAAAATTAGAGAGTAACAAGCTTAGAAAATTAGAGAGTACCAAGCTTAGAAAATTAGAGAGTAACAAGCTTAGAAAATTAGAGAGTAACAAGCTTAGAAAATTAGAGAGTAACGAGCTTAGAAAATTAGCGAGTAACAAGCTTAGAAAATTAGATAGTACCAAGCTTAGAAAATTAGAAAGTAACAAGCTTAGAAAATTAGAGAGTAACAAGCTTAGAAAATTAGAGAGTAACACGCGTAGAAAATTAGAAAGTAACAAGCTTAGAAAATTAGAGAGTAACAAGCTTAGAAAATTAGAGAGTAACAAGCTTAGAAAATTAGAGAGTAACAAGCTTAGAAAATTAGAGAGTACCAAGCTTAGAAAATTAGAAAGTAACATATTTAGAGAGTAACATGATTTTATTACGTGGTACTACATTAGAAAGTGGCGGAGCTCTTTCTGTTAACATGATTTTTTTCCATTTTAATTTTTTGTTTAGATTTACTCGAGTGGAAAGATTAGGTAGTGAGGGTAAAACAAAGTGCAATACATGCGAGAGTTATCAGGTAAGTTATTTCATGTTACTTTATGGTATAGTTTTCCCTGTAATAATAAAAAATGCGTATTTCGTCTTACTACAGGAAGCAACAAAACAATTGTCCATGAAAAAATTGCCGATTGTTGTCTGTTTTCACTTAAAGGTATGTTGAAGTGTCGGACTTTAAGGTGGCTCGATACAGTTGGGGTTTCTTTTTAATGGAAATTCACGATTTAGATCGAAAAATTGGACAGTTATAACTTCTTGGGAAACAAAAAGTATCTTACTGATGTAAAACAACATCTGATAGGTTCGTTTTTTGTGGGTTTTTTTCATAAAAGTTACCCAACAATGACGTTTCAAGATTGCGGATATTTTGGCTTTAAGGTAGTTTAACGCGAAAACGACATTGGTGACCCCCGAATTCTATTTCATAAAACGATATTGAGCCAAACAAATTAGTATGAATAATCACATTTACGTAATTTGAAAAATTGGCTCAACAGATTTTTTTTAAATTCTCAAAATAATCGAGTATACTAAAAGAAATCATTTTATGAAATAAAATTTGGGGATTACCGATGTCGTGTACGAATTAAATTACTTTAAAGCCAAAATACCTGCCATGTTGAAACGTCATTCTGGCCATTGCAACAGTAGTTGCGTAACTTTTATGGAAAAATTCAAACTCTTTAGATGTTGTTCGTCGTGAATTTTTATTTTTAAAAACTATCGAGCCACCTTAGGTGGTGGTAGTACCGGAATCGCAGGGCTGCAGGTTCGATTCCTACCAGAGGGTCTATACCATTGAACTATAAATAAACTGGAAGGCTAACTCAGGGGGGGGGGGGAATTGAAGCCAGTGTATTTTAGTTTTTCTGAGTTATGAGCGGAAATACTCAACACTGAATGTTGGGCTATATATCAAATTGAAGCTATTGAAAAACGCTATTTGGTGTAGAAATTTCGAGACTTTAGCTAAAAGGGAAATATTGAAAAACTACAAACATAATTACCGATAATTTGCCGTTTTGCAGTTGTTTTTGTATTTTTAAAATATTTTTCTTTTTGCTGAAGTCTTGAAATTTCCACACCGAATAGCAATTTTCAATAGCTACAATTTGATATATAGCCCGACGTTTGGGGTCAAGTATTTCTGCTCATAACTCAAAAAACTATTTCGGCTTCATCAAATCATAGCTAGGCCTTCATCATAGCAGTTAGCCTTCCAGTTTATTTATAGTTCAATGGTCTATACTAAGTTGCATTTTTTCGCAACCACTCCTGGTTACGTCCAATAAATATATAAAATTTCACACTCGAAATTCTCATCTACAAAATTTATTCACAATTGACCATTTGCGTAATAGACAAAATTTTGATCTAAACAAGTCTAGACAAAAATTTCATCACAGCTTGAACGAGCATCACAAAATTAGTAATATTCCAAAGTTTCGTTGTAAAATGTTGTACAATGCGGATAATATAGCCTTGCGAAGTTTGCAATTTTCAGTCATTTTAGATTACAAATGGGAAATTGAGAGCCTCAAAGCGTATCGGGCTGTCAATTTCCCGTTTGTAATCTAAAATGACTGAAAATTGCAAACTTTGCAAGGCTGTATTATCCGCATTTTACAACATTTCGCAACGAAACTTTGGAATATTACTAATTTTGTGACGCTCTTTCAAGCTGTGATGAAATGTTAGTAGATGAAACCCCCCATATAGCGAGATTTTTCCCGCCATATGACGTCAGCATTTTTCCTGCCATAGAACGTCAGCGTTTTGAGGGATAAGAGTGACGTCATTTTTGGAACATTGTCGCGTAACATTTGTCGCGTGATCTTTTGGAATTTTGAGATGGCGTCAGCAAGTATTTGTCGCATAACGTTTATTGTAAAAAAATATGATCTTTAAATTGTATTAAGCGCTACAATACCAGTTCGAACCGGATTTAATATAATGTATAAATTGAGGTCTTCGAGTGTACAAGAGCGTAGTGTTTTATACACAGCTTTCGCAGAGGAAAAAATATTTATTTTAAAATGGAAGGTTTATATGATAGGCATGATCTGTTTGCAGCAATGTCTATTTGATTTTTGGGGGAATTTGAGAGGAAATTATCCAGGCTATTTTGAGCTACCTGATGTATTGGAGCGGAGAACATTGTGCAT